TATAGTTGAAATGATGTCAAATTACTTTTAGGAATATATATATATAGTTGAAATGATGTCAAATTACTTTTAGGAATATATATATATAGTTGAAATGATGTCAAATTACTTTTAGGAATATATATATATAGTTGAAATGATGTCAAATTACTTTTAGGAATATATATATATATAGTTGAAATGATGTCAAATTACTTTTAGGAATATATATATTTTGAAAGAATGCGATTCAAATAGGACCCTAATATTCGTCATAATATACATGCAAATAAGGATATATTCTGGAAGGAAACTAATAGTACCACTTTTCTTAAATATGGAATAATTACGATCCCTTTTTCTCTGAGAACATCGTAAGCCATTTCATTGATGAAGTTGTTGAGTGCTAGATAGAAAATTTGCATGTAATCTGGAAGTTGCTCAATTGCACTGACATCCCATCTGTAAAGTTCCAAGAAGAAATAATTGTAAGAGCTACAAAGAGAAAGGAGGCTTGGAAAGAAACATTAGGAGGACGTTGCTAACCTTTCAATGATGTATGTAAAATGTTTCATTTCTTCAAACGTACCATACACATCATATATATCATCCATAATTGTAATAAAAACATTTTCTTTGGTTGCATCTATTCGTGAAAATCCATATTGTGGTTCAAATAGCACTCCTATATTCCAAAAGAAACATTCCACGAGCCTATCCCTGGCAAATGGCAACATCTTGGCAAGGCATGTTCTCTTCCACCACATATTCATATACAGAAACCAAGGATGGTAAGGTTAGGAGCTTAAAATACGATATATTTAGCGCACTCGGCAATACCTGGAGACATATTTTAGTTCCTCAAGATATGTTGCTTGAACAATGTTGAAATCCAGTTTTACAAGTTGGAGAAGAATTGGATTCTTGTCTGGTCTCTTCTCATATTTGTTTATGAACCGCCGTTGAATGAATTAAATAAATGTGTACTCTCCTAATAGATTAAATTTTTAGACGAAATAGTTCAACACTACCCTACTTCAGCCCGAGGTATGGTCCAGTGCAGTGGAATCTCCAAGGCATGGTGCACCAATGGATCACAATGAATGTCGTCAACACTTTTATCCTCGAGATGTTTGATAGTGAATTCTCTTGCCATTTCCAGAGTACTCTCACCTTCTATTGACAAGAAAGAAGCTTCATACAGTTGTAGTAATCCCTTTGTATCATTACATAAGCTTGGCTTGAAATTGCCCTTCTCATTCTTGAAACAATCAAATCTCTCTGGAATCAGCCAAGCTTTGGCATGTTAAGCGAAAAAAGTGCGAGAAAGTGATGCAACAAATAAAACCTTAATTTCTATCAGGGAAATCTGATACATGTAGGGAATATACAATATACCCCTGAAAAAATATTACATCCGTGCTCGATTCTATAAGTGCGCATTATGATTAGGCTACAAGGAATCTGACAATAAGAAATCATAAATCAACAGAATAAATAAAGGATTCTAAGTTGTTTTTTGTGCACCTTGAGAGACATTAAAGCCATGTTGTCTTAGTAGTCTAAATTCCAAAGCTGTAGCATACAAATCCTTAATCTTTGGCTCCTTACTTTTGCTATATTTTCGGTTTATGAAAGCCAATATTTGCTCAATTTCATCCTCAAAATGGTAAGATATTCCCAGCCTCTCCAAGTTATCAATTAATTCCAACTGATCCAGTGGTTCCATCGTTTCATCAAGCATCATCTTCACTTGCATCTTCATCTCAGAAGCCCTTGTTTTGTATCTCTCTTCCTACATTATGCATATCATTTTTTGTCAGTCCTTATAATAAATATATATAGAAAAAAATTCTACAGATGACGATAATTACCGTGTATTCACTTTTTAAGGACTGAATATAATCGAATTCCCATATAGGGGGCTTGTATTTTCCTGATCGCCTAATCACGGTCTGATTGTAAGACGTAGAGGCAAGAATTCGATATTGTTTAGCATTAGAAGCAAGGCTATCAGTAGTTGTACCCAAAGCAAAACAGATCTCCATTTTTGGAAGCTCCGTTTTGAACGAGCAAACAGAAATTGGCCTCAGAATTTGCATGTTGATAACCTCCCTCTCTCTCTCTCCCTCTCTCTCTCTATATATATATGTAGAGACAGAGAGAGATGATCTATCAAACGGACAAAATGTAACCCTGTGGCGCTTTAGTAATTTTCACATGGAATAATACGAAGTTACCGTGTTAAGTGTTAAAATTGGCACCGATTTGCAGTACGGACAGGAGACCAAACAGGGGAGATGGATGAGTATTTTTTTTTGGCAATACTCTACTCACATAGGCCCTCCCCATGTGAGTAATTTGCTGTGCACGAAGCAAAATGCACATTACACGTGATTGCATTCTCTTCGATTTTCAACATTTTTGAACCGAAAATCAATGTACTTATCAAACACAAATCATTACTTACTGTATAGATAAGAATTTGGCGAGTTAGATTGATTCTGAGTCCACATATCATTACTTACTTTTCTTTCTAAAAACACAAATTTCTAACCAGCTTTGAATGACGGAGACCCAACACGTGAGTGATTCACTTCTCATTGCTCTCCTATGAAACAAGATAAAGCAGGGAAACACTATATTATAATTAAATGACATTATTTGAATATGAACAATTAGATTTTATTAATAAAGATGAATTATGTGTGACAAATGTTATTAATCATCACAAGGAAATGATACTTGTACAAATGATCCTTTAAGAGCATAAGTTTATTTTTATTAAAGTATATATACTATTACTTGCAAGATGGATGGAAACCATTGAAAATGACCTCTATTTTATTTTTTTTACGTAACATCAATATGTTGAGGGGGTCAATGCAACGATTGTAGTATTAGGGACCATTTCCACACAAGGGCCTTACATTAAGGACCATCTATATCAATTTCCTTGTTAATTAATACTCCACCTTTGTGTTCGCTTGAATAAAAAAAAAAAAAAAAGTTTTATTGTGGAAATGCTTCAACGTATGGATCTATTGATACCCTTACCTTTTTAAATTGGTGGAAACCCCCCGTATGAACTTTGAAGTGCGGAACCCATTGTCTTTCATTTTCTCATAAATCCCTATGAAATGACGATTTGGGAAAAAATAGTAGAGAAGACAGCTTGGTATGTCAAATTAGATGTAATATAAATGTGGAGAAACACAACTATATGGTTTGTGATCTGAAATGAAGGTTATTATGCACATAAAAATTGCAAAGATTCAATCAACAACACACGATGAGTGGAGGCATGACGATATTGCTAGAATATGACCCAAATTTCTATTGGGATTAGGATTGGGTTGGTAAATTGATAAAAGGAAATGGAGTCTTCTTGGTTTGGAAGTTCGATTGAAAAAGAGGATTAAAGTTCATCAATGATTGAAATTTTGATTGGTAAAAGAAATTTGGAAAATTGAAGACTTGATTTTGAAATTTTGGTGGATAAAAAATCGTCACAATTTCGCTAACTGGCAGCTAACTGTCGCCTGACACTGGAGTGACAATGTTATTCGGACAGGAATCATTTTTTTATTTTGACTACTTTCTTGAGTCGTATTTCATCCAACATACTAGTAAAGGATTCTATATATATATATATTCCACGTGATATAGGCTCTTAAAAGGATAAATTAACAATAAAATCATAGTTATATAGATTAAAAACTTGAGATGGTTATTTAAATTTAGATTGAGTGTATCAAATCTCGTAAGGCAATTTTAGTTTCTTGATATATTTAAATTCTTCTCTTCTTTCATATAAATCTTGTGTTCTTATGTGATCCATTATTTTTCATATTGCTCTTATTTTCTCGTCTTTATTATTTGCCCGATTTATCTTTACAATTCCATACGATTCATCAAGAAATATGTATTGAAAATAGAATATGCGAGTCAGCTGGAAGAAGAAATTTAGCTGAAGCATTGTCATAATCAGCAAGAAATAGGCCAGGTTGGATTAATGACAGGACAAATGACAACGCAACAACAGAAGAATGATCTAGAAGAGGATTAGTTAGATTTTGTTATTGTACAGCAGAAGAAAAATCTAGAAGAATAATTACCTATTTTTTTGTGTAAGTTAGTTAGAAAAGATTCCTTCATTTTGTAAGGGGCCCTATTGTACATAACACATGGTGAATTGAATACAATTTCATTCTTCTCCTAGTTCATCAATATCAAAAATTTTATCTTTTAAAATCTAACATGGTATCAGAGTTAGAAATGGAGGAATCCAATTCAGAAAACACAAATCCCACCCCAAATACAAACAGTAGTCCAAGCCAAATCCAAAACCAAACTAGAGGAGGGAACTCAAGTGTCCTTTCTCTTGATCCAACTCATCCTAGCGACCCTTATTATATAGGTAGCAATGATGGAAGTACTGTTATGCTGGTCACCCATGCCTTGTGCTCTAGTAATTATTATTCCTAGGCTCGATCAATGAGAAGAGTATTGAGAATAAAAAATAAGCTGGGGTTCATAGATGGTAGTCTTTGTGAACGAAAAAATCTAAATAATCCATTAATGGAACATTGGTTAAGGTGCAATGACATTGTCATAATGTGGTTGCAGAATGCCATAGCAATTGATATTAAGAGTGGCATCATGAAACAGCTTACCTTTTTTGGCTTGACCTTGAACAACGCTTCTCCCAGCAAAATGCTCCATGCATCCTTGAAGTAAAGAAGGATATCACAACCTTGATGCAAAATCAAGACTCGGTGAGTGTTTACTTCTCAAAACTCAAAACTCTCTTAGATGAACTGTTGAATTATGAAAGTATTCCCAATTGCACATGTGGAGATCTAAAAATTGTCGTTCAAAATCAATAAAGGGATTGGGTTATGAAATTCTTAATGGGGCTAAATGATTCTTACAAAGAGATTAAGGTCCAGATCTTATTGATTAAGCCATTTTCCAGCCTGAATGAGGTATATTCATTGATCCAGCAAGAGGATAAGAGGCGGGAGATATCTAATCTAGTTCCTATTAATTCTGACTCCATGATTTTTCTAAGCAAAAGGGGTTCTAGAGAAGGAGGAAACCAACATTTTTCATCACATAAGGGGGACAAATATTATTGCACTCATTGCAAGGTTGTAGGCCATTCCCTTGAATGATGCTTCAAAGCAAATCCAAGCAGGCCAATCTGCTCTTTACTATAAGACGCCAAGACACGAAGTGAACAAATGTTTTAAACTCCATGGATTCCCACCAGGCCACAAGTTGAACAGCAGAGGAAAGCATGCTGCCAACGTGGTCTCTACCGGCATGATACACAATCAAGAAGTGGTAAAGGACAAGGGCAAAATATCCTTAAGTCAAGAGCAATACTCTTAGTTGATGGCACTACTCAAACCAGCAACAGGCACTCATCACTCCACCCTTTCATCAAACTGTTAGGTAATTTGTTGTCAAACGACCTCCTCGGGCGATGATGTAACCTCGGTTTTATTATCAATCGGCCTTGGCCATATGATTGACTAGTACATCGACACAATTATCGAGACAACACAATCCACATTTTTATGGACCGTTCGAAGCAACCTATTTTAAATAGTGTTGCTCACGGTTCGCCCCATTTCCTTGGAAGGCTATATTATTATTTTTGAAGCCCACTTTAATTGAGTCGAGCCTTGTTTTGGTCCACAATTTAACCCTAACCTAACTTACCTATTTTGGACATTTACTTGGCATATAATCTCACCTTCCTCTCGGCCTCCATGGTGTGTGCCTATTTTTCCCTTCTCTTTGTGAGACTCTCTTCTCGACTTCTTGCTTTACTTCACTGTAACCTTTGTGGTTAATTCTTTGTGGGCACATCATTGGACTTTACTTTCCAACCTATAGCAACCGGAGTAGGGCAGCAGTGGTGATGGTTCTTGGAGTTGTCTCAACCTTTGTGGTGTCGATGAATTGGTAAACTGAGCCCAGTTTGGTACTTGGAGTTTGGTGGAAATCAACTCTACATCTGGTATTAGAGCCGGAGTAACCTTTCTCGGCCAGAAAATCACCAAAAACCTTTTCGGCCAATCCAGTCACTTTCCAGCGAAACCGATCCCATATTCAGAACCAGCAGGCTGAGGCACCCCTTCGTGTGTGGCAAGTGGCGGCGACAGTGATCGACGACGGCGGTGCATGGGACTCCGGCAGCCCCGCGTGGCGGTGATTTCGGGCGAACTTCCTTCGAGCAGTTTGCTCATTTTAATCCCCTGAACGCACTGACACTGTTTATTTTCTGTTTTAGGTTACACAGAAAAAGTTGGACAATTTTGCCCCCGGTGGATCGACGGTTGCAATTGCATATATCCACTAAATTACTTTAGGCCAAGATTGCGGTCCTAAAGCAGTAGATTCACATCTCTCTCGATTATACGGACTCAAACACGTTCGCTCTGGTAAATTGGCTTAACCTGTTAATTTTTTCAACATTGGCGCGTCACCGTGTGGGGGTGACAATAGGTTGGGGTTGTCATTGCTTGGCAACCATTGCTTGTACTAGAATTAGGGTTACATGCTCTTGATTGATCTTTTTGATTGAGTATTTGTTTTTTTGGTGAAAATCAGTTTTGTAATTCTTAGTAATCTAATTACTGTGGGACTAGTTATCTACTAGACGTATTTTTTGCTGCATTGTTATTTTCGCTGATTTCTTATTCCGTTAGAAATACCGTGACCTTACCAGTTCGAACATTCCCTTTATCTAAGATCGCGAGTCTTACAAAACCCTGGAAATCTAGAACGGTGTATATTGTCTGTGACCCTAGGACTACTTTGTGTGGTTTGATTGTAGTTTGTGTATTTTTGACTATTGTGTGGATGACAACTCACAGTTTTAATTTGAGAATTTTTAATGGAAAGGGTGACTTTGCTATTTGGCAACAAAAAATGAAGGGTATTTTAGTCCAACAAAAGGTTTCAAAAGCCATTGAAGGCAATTTTTCAACTGATTTTTCACAAGAACAAAGAGAAAAAGCCGATGAGCTTGCTTATACCTCAATTATTT